CTCTCTCATAAGGAGGAGGATGCTCTAATACAGGAGAGTACTCCTCGGTGGTGACGGGGAAGTGGCATGACGAGTCGTCCCTGCCTGATTCTTCCACACACCTGGCCCTCTAAGTGAGTCACGAAGAAGGACTTGTCATTGGGGGTCAGCTCTTGTGCAAACACAAGCCTCAGAATCTCCCTTATGTGAAACAAAGCTTTATATGGCCCATTCTGAAGTCAGTCAGGGCCTGTGGCCATGGGGTGGGTTTACATTAGGAAGTCATGTAAGGGTCCATCAAAGGTGCTTGAAGTAAATTGCTGCCTCCATTGCCCTTCCTGACCTGGAGCAGCTATTTAATGGTGGATGCAGCATTTTCCATTGTGGATAGTGTAGGTACCAGCCCGGGAAAGGGTTCCAGGGGCTTGTAAACAGCATGGGCGAATCCCCCCATGGCTAGCACTTCTATACTATAGCATGTTGGCCTGTGATGTCCTGGTTCCAGATGAGCCCCACAGACTCTGGACTTCCCTTTGTGTGAAGCCATGGGTGGGGCGGGGTCTCTTTCTGTCTCTTGGCTGCCTCATTTATTTTATTCAGCAAATATTTATTGGGCTCCTAGCTGCCTGCTGTCTATCTATCACAACCTACTGGGGTGGACGTTGGGGGGTGCAACAGATTGTATTTTTTTTTTTTGAGTTGGAGTCTCACTCTGTCACCCAGACTGGAGTGCAGTGGCCGTTCCCGGCCACCGCAGCCTTGACCTGCTGGGCTCCGGCGATCCTTCCACCTCAGCCTTCCGAGTAGCCAGAATTACAGGCACGTGCTACCACGCCCAGCTAATTTTTTGATTTTATTGTAGAGATGAGATCTCGCCTGCCCAGGCGGGTCTCGAACCCTCGGGCTCAGGCAGTCCACTCACCTCAGCCTCCCAAAGGCGCGGGATTACAGGCTGAGCCACCGAGCCCGGTGTCTTTTTTTTTTAAGACTAGGTCTTACTCTCTTGCCCCAGCTGACTGCAGTGGCATGATCACAGATCACCGCAGCTTTGACCTCCTAGGTTCAGGTGACCCTTCTGCCTCAGCCTCCCTAGTAGCTGGGACTGCGGGCATGTGCTACCACACCTGGCTACTTTTTTTGATTTATTATGGCGATGACTTGCTATGTTGTCCAGGCTGGTCTCCAACTCCTGGGTTCAAGTGATTCTTCACCTTGGCCCCTCCTTCCCCTTTTTTTTTGAGGGTTAAAGGTTATGGTGGTACCAGAAAAATGTACACACATTTTTAAGAGATATTATCTATATATTACTTATAGTTTGCCGTAATTAGAAGTGTCTAGATGCTGATGGTAACCACTTTGAGCACCTCTAGTAATTTCAGAAGTTAAATGTGACTTGTATTAATCCACAATTTTTTTTTTTTTGAGTTGGATTTTCACTCTGTCACCCAGACTGGAGTGCAGTGGCCGCTCCCTGCCACCGCAGCCTCGACCTGCTGGGCTCCGGCGATCCTTCCGCCTCAGCCTTCCAAGTAGTGGAACTACAGGCGCATGCTACCATGCCCGGCTAATTTTTGATTTATTGTAGAGATGAGGTCTTGGCAAGTTGCCCAGGCAGGTCTCGAACTCGCAGGCTCAGGCAATCCACTCACCTCGGCCTCCCAAAGTGCTGGGATTACAGGCTGAGCCACCGGAAT